ATATGACACGAATTTACAAAAATGTGTATACTTTAAATAGTTTTAAATTTTACATTAAGTAAACAGAATCTGTACTTGTATGATCTTTATTCTCACGTATGTCTAACTATGTATATATATATATATATATATATATATATGTATATATGTCTATAACTATGGCAACCAAAGCCTGAGTCACAATTATTTGACTCAGGCTTTGGTTGCCATAGTTCCTAACACCCCACAAAGGAAGGTCCCAAGGTGGAACTGGGATGGACCTGGGGCCAGCAGCAAAGCCACCTGGCATCAAAATGGGACAATTTAGAAAGCTAAAAGCATGGTCTTGATACAAACTGTTATGATTGAAGAGACAGGACCCCCATGGGCAAGGACAAACTGAACCAGCCTGAGGACTTAATCTGATGAGAGGCAGATTTATGGTAAAAGCCTGGCTTGCCCTCAGAGTCCAGAGAACTAAGTTTTAAGATCTGTATCTCTTACTGTGTTTATCCAAATAACTCACATATACTACTGTCCTTCCTGTCCTCTTGTATCTTTCAGAATTAAGATGATCTTGGAGTAGCACATTCTATTTTCCCAAATAAGAATTTGAGGCATAGAAGAAGAATATGCACTTGTTCATTGTTAAAATCATTCTACCAAATCTTTTACTCTTGGACCATGAATGTTATCTTTGTCAATAGATTTCATTAGTTCAATTATTCATTTACAATAGCCCATATTCTGTTGACTCAGTTTTCCTGAAAAAGCATATCTGAGGCAAACCTGACTGATAACTGCAGAGGGTCTCATGAGGTGACAGTGTGTGTTCCAGCAGCCTGTCTCAGCCTAGATGCCATACCCATAGATCCTGCCTGAAATGATTTTTCTGGCATCTGTCTTTATCTTTCTTTAAGATCATTGTATCAAAATGTACTCTTCAGGAGAAGTCAAGAAAGCATTGTTCCATATCTATGATGAGAGGCAGATCTCTCACTAAAGGAAAACTCTGCAGTTTGAAAGGCAGTATAGGTTGGCACTTAAAAAAGGAATTCCATGGCTTAGAGGCCAGCTGCACACTCCAGGGGTAAAGGCAGCTCAGATAGAGAAGGGAGCACCAAATAAAGGGTGCTGGGAAGATCTGCCCAGGATGGGAGAAGCCTGATGAAAGTAGTCTATGGACCGAACATGATTGCCACCCAATGTCTCTTCTGCAGACCACAGCACCCAAAGCGAGAGATAGAACAAAAGGAAGTGCCCTGCCACAGAGGCAGGGTGGGATGGGGGATGGAGGATGGGTGGGAGGGATACTTGGATTGGTGGGGGTGGATAATGGGCACTGGTGGTGGGATGGGTACTCGACCATTGCATAACTGAAACCCAAGCACAACAACTTGTAAGTCTACAACTGTACCTCATGGTGTTTCACTAATAAAACAACAAAAAAAAGAGGAATTTCAGCATTATCTGGCAGTGGCATACATTTTCAATGAACTGTGAGTTGAAGATATTTTCATCATGTTAGGATCTTTGTTCTTTCAGTGTAGTGTTTTTCTGACAAAGGGCATAGGTTAGCTCAAGAATTATGGCTACATACAGGAACATCGAAAATTCTAGTTGTATTTGAACCAAACATAGCATCATTCTTGCTGACTTATTTGAAGTAAAAAAAAATTAAAAATGAGATTAAAACTATTTTCTCTCAATCTAGTTTTTATGCTTGTTTTCTTTCTATGAAAAATATTTCTCATTGAGGTAATACTGCATCATAACATTAGATAGGTTTCATATAAACATCATTATAAATTAATGCCATAGATACTGGGATTCTGTGACAGGCTGTTTTCACTCGAGGCGCCCCAGAGTGGGGCGGGTGAGAGCCCTCCCCGCCCCAAGGAACCCAGCCCTGGCAGCCGACCTCTACTACCCAACTGCCGCCACGCTCCAGGCAGCTTTCTGGATACATCATAAGACACTTCCTACCTACTTTCCATAATTACGACACCATATTTGATGGGTTTCAGAGATTAGGCAACAAATCATAGAGGGAAATATATATTTATACCTCTCGGAGAGCCCGGCAAGCTACTGAAAGTATCTTGCCTGCATGGGCAGAGCCTGGAAAGCTCCCCATGGCATATTCTATATGCCAAAACCAACCAGTAACAATAACAGGTCTCATTCCCCTGGCTCTGAAAAAGCCTCCAATCATTGGGAAAGATGAGTCAGGAGAGGCTGCTAAGATCTCAGGGCTGGGAGGAATGGATGTTACAGGAGCCTGCTAGAGTGAATCGATGAACAATGGGATGACAGTGACAGTGATGTCTATAATGATAGCACAATCAGAACACAGCAGGGCCCCTGCACCTCTCAGTGCTCCTTTCAGCGCTGCCCTCTGTCCCTGTAGTCTTGCCTCCTAACATGCCATAAATGCAACCACAAGATGAGTCATTTTGACTATGGTTTCTTTTATTTAGCACACCTGTAAATAAACACTGATTCGTTTTATTTTGTTTTTCCTTCTCCCTGTGCTTTGGCTGCTTCTACTGTGTTTGAGGGTCACACACCTGGTTGTGGTGCACAATGGGACTTGTGCTCAGTAATGGCTGGTGGTGCTAGGGATCAAACTCATGGACTCAGGCCTTCGAACCGGTACTCTGTCACGTCATGCTGCCAATGTTCCTTTGTTTGCAAATATATGTCCAGTTGTTCTGGCACCATTTGTTGTAAGGAATATTCTTTCTCCACAAACTGTCATAGTGTCTGATGAAAATCAACTTATCATATTTGTATGGACTTATTTTTGAACTCCATTCTGTTCTATTAATTATTTACCTAGTAGTCAATCTCTTCACAATCTACAATATTATAAAGGTTTATAGGAAGTATTAAACTCCAGCAATAGAAGTACCCCAGTTTTATTCCTTTTCAAATTTTTCTGGCTACCCTAATTCCTATGAATTTCCACAGAAATTTAGAAGCAGCTTAACTAAGTCTACAAACTTTTCTGCTGAGATCTTAATTTAGTTTGTTAAAGCTATAGTTTAACTCAAGATCTGACAGCTTAGTTTTATTGAGTATTCTAATTTATGAGCATGGTATGTTTCCTCATTTTTATCTTCTTTAAAATAAGGCTTTTGAATATCACCTATATATGTATAAAACATGGTAGGGTAGAGTTGGAGGTCACTGTCACTGTCACTGTCCTCCCATTGCTCATCGATTTGCTTGAGCGGACCCAGAAACTTCTCCATTGTGAGACTTGTTGTTACTGTGTTTGGCACATTGAATACATCATGGGGAGCTTGCAAGGCTTTGCCCTACGGGTGAGATACTCTCGGTAGCTTTCTGGGCTTTCCAAGAGGGGCAGAGGAATTGAACCTGGGTCAGCCAGGTCAGCTGCATGAAAGGCAAATGCCCTACCACTGTGATATCGCTCCAGTCCAGAGATGGAGGTCAGAAGTAAATATTTCTAAAATTAAAAAAGTAAATTATTTTTCTTTGGAAAGTTCTCTAATGGCTCATGGCCTCAAGATTTGAAATTCAACTATGTTACTAGTAATCAGAAAATAGGCCCAGTAACTTTTTCAGTCATATTCACTTTCTTCAATTTATGCACAACAAAAAATACATTTACTTTGAAATTTTTGTTTATTTACTTATTTTTGGGGATACATCTGGAAGTACTCAGGGTCTACTCTTAGCTCTGTGCTTGGGGATCATTCCTGGCTACGCTCAGGGGACCAGGCCTTGCTGGGCATTGATCTTGGGCCTCCTGCATGCAAAACATGCCTTTGGTCCTTTAAGTTATCTCTCAAGCACCAAAGCTGATACATTTTAAATGTGCATGTAGATGACACATGACAAAAGGTATACCAGTTAGCCACTCCCCAACCAATCACAACAGAATATGCTTCCACATTCGTCCATATACTCATTAGCCACTATCCAGGCACAACAGCATACACTTCTATGTGCCCTGTGTATCCTTCAGCCACTTCCTAGTTACAACAGAATACACTCCCACATCCTCAAGAAACAACCTCTCAAGCCTCTTGCTGCTCTCCCTTGTCTGGGCAAGCACTGATCTCTCCCACTCTAGAGACTGCCTGTAACCATATAGCATGCATCCTTTTGTCAGTCGTCAGCATGTTGATGACTGTACTATGCTTATGCATCCATACATAGTTTAATTTCCTTTTTGCTAGGTAATTTTCCATTGTGTGAATATACCACAATTTAATTATTCACTCATCTGTTAATGAGCAGCTGACCATAGTTTTGAGCTACCAAGAATAAATAATTAATAAATATCACGGTCACGGTCACGGTCCTCCCGTTGATCATCGATTTGCTCGAGCGGGCCCAGTAATGTCTCCATTGGAGACTTTGTTGTTACTGTGTTTGGCATATCGAATACTCTCGGTAGCTTGCTGTGCTCTCCGAGAGGGGCGGAGGAATCGAACTTGGGTCGGCCATGGTGGCCGCGTGCAAGGCAACTGCCTTACCCGCTGTGCTATCGCTATTCACGAACATATTTCCACTTTCCTTGGATTCTACCTCAGAGTGGAATTACTCTGCCATACAGTAAATGTACACTTACCTTCATTGTGAAACTACCATACCAATTTCCAAAGTGGTTGTATCATGTTACATTTTACCATGGATATGTGAAATTTTCAATTACTCCCCTTTTTAAAAGTCAACATTTGAAGTCGCAACTTCTTTTACTTTTAACCACTCTTTCAGGTGTGAAGTGCTATCTGCATTTCCCCAAAGACAAATGTTTTTCCGGTGGAACTGCGTAATTAACTTCTAGTTATCTCACTGTTCCACACATCACAACTTATCAAGAAAAAGTTGAATCAGAAAAGTGGTGATAAACTAAGAGACAAGAACTAGGTTCATATCTCAGTTTGTACCTGCATTTATTGCCATCCCATTAGCAGTAAGGATAATTCAGAGTCTCAAAAACCACAAGTACATTAGTGAATCAGAAGGAAAAATACCATCCTTACCTGTTATTTTCCTTCGCATCCATGGACATACAAAGAGCCACACAAAAATGGCAAACAGTAGTGCCACTCCAAAGGAGATGAGAGCTATAGCCCACACGGGAAGCACCAGGCCCAGCACTGAGAACAAAGATGGCAGCAGTGTTAGCCTCAGTCTACTTAGAGTCACATACTTCCTGTTCTCCAAAATCTAAAACACATCAATGGGATTTTATATTTAATAAAACTGTTAAGCCCCCAAATGTGCTATTCATACTGGGAGACATATACTGTACCTTGTGAATATGTGGTGAAACGATGAGGAAGGTAATTATTACACTTTTACCAGTTTGGCATAAATAACATACAAAATTGGAAAGACAAGCATTTACGTATAATTCCCATATCTAAACTCTTGAGAGCTCCACGGCTGGGAAAGCAGTTCTCTACCCTGTACGGAGCAGTCAGTTCCTTTCCTCAGGGAATGAAAGGCTGGTCCTAGCCCAGCTAAACACTGCCTTTTTTGGTTTATCAATAGTCTGCATCCTTGTGTTCAATGGACATAACACTGACCACATACATATACCATTTGTAAAAAAAGCTGAGAAATTAAAATTTTTTTAAAGGATATTGATCTTCAAGTTGAATCCTTTTTGGAAGAGTCAACTCATGGAATTATGACCCAGAAACCTTTTCATTAATATCTTCTATGCACATAAAGTAATGATCACATTAGTCAACAAGGGTTTGATGCAACCTGATGTTTTCATACCAGAGTACAGTGTCCAGAATGCATGATTCTGAGTTTTGTGTATCTTTAGCAAAAATGACACATTTCACACTCATTCGCATGTGTACAACTTAAATACAGTCTTACATGGGTACACAAGATATATGTACAAGAATTTTTATCATAGTATTCTATGTAATAGTAAGAATTTGCATAATAATATATATGCTTTGTTTTGGAAATGATCTAATTTATGTTTAAAATAGATGGGAGCCAGAGAGACAGTACAGTGGATAAGGCACTTGCTTTGCATGTCGGTGACCCAGGTTTGCTCCCTTGCACTCCATATGTTCCCATAAGTCCTGCCAGTTATGATTCTGTACAGCATCAGGAGTAAGCCCGGAGTACTGCCAGTGTGGTCCCAAAACAAAAATAAAGAAAGAAGAGAATAGGGGCCAGAAAGAGAACACAACAGGGTGCTTGCCTGATCTGGACTTGATCCCCTGCACCTCATGTGGTCTCCTGAGCTGGGAGTGATCCCTGAGCAAGCCAGGAGGCAGCCCTGAGCACAGTTGAATGTGCTCCTGTGCCCAATAAAAATAAAAAGAGAAAATAATTCCATACTTAAGGGCATATCTTTTTTTGGGGGGGGAAGGGGTCGGGACACTGTCAAATGGTGTTGCTGGGTAGCCAGGGACTCCTCTCAGTGATTCTTGGCCCATTGGGCCTATAGTTCTGTGGTCAGGTCCCAGGCTGCAGAGCTGCTCAGCGGGGCCATGAGGCCAAGGGACCATGTGGTGCTGAGGCTCAAACTGTGGTCAGCCACATGAGAGGCATACCTTAACTCTTGTACCTACATCTCTCTGGCCCCTAGCTTCATATATTTTTCATTTTTTTGGTCACACTTGGTGATGCTCAGGGGTTACTCTTGACGCTGCACTCAGGACTTACTCCTGGCAGTGCTCAGGGTACATATGGGATGCAGGGAGTCGAACCCGGGTCCCTATCCGCTGTACCTTGTTGCCCCAGCCCCAAGATTCATATATTATGCACAAAATTTAGAATGTTCTGCAAAGACACAATGGCTACTGCTGTGGAAAGATGAGAAATTGGAGGGGGCTTTCACTTCTTATTACATACACGATTATACCTACCTTATTACTACATTTGGTGCTACTCCCAATATTACTGTTTCATACTTAAATGTGCTGTGCACAGAGCCCACCACAGACAGATGTTCCACATTATTATTATTCTAATGTATGTTCCCTCTACTTTTATTTTTAAAAATATATAATAAGCATGTCACTTTCATAAGTAATTAAGAGTTTAAAAATTGTTAAAGAAGTGAACTTTTAAAACTGTATTCTTTTGGGATCAGAGTAATAGTACAGTGGGTAGGGTGCTGCCTCCTGCACCTTTCCTGCACCCCAGATGACCCCCCATGTCTGCCAGGAGTCAGCCTTGAGCATAGCTGGGTGTGGACCAAAACAAAACAATACCTCCCCCCCAAAAAAAACCCCAGAACAACTCACAAATCCCCAAACCCTACCTTTATTCTTGGTCTTTAAATACATATTTCATTTAAGATCACTTAGGGGCTAGAATGTTCTCTCTACTGGTTCCAATACTCCCGATCACATGAGAAAGCTGTGAACTTGGGCAGGCAGGGCTGGGCTGGGGTGGGTGAGGGGAGCTGGCAGGTATACAGGCAGCCAGACTGCTGCTTTCTCTCTGGCACTGCAAGCTTGGAGCTGCTTGTAACATGGCCCAGGCTGACCTTGGTGGGCAGTGGCCATGGGCCCTGGCTCCCTGATATTAGATCTGTGTCAGCCCCTAATAATGTGTGATAAAAAACCATTCCAAAGCAGTTTCTTGCCAAATGGACTGGTAACTGTTACTTATCAACATCAAACTGAGCAACTAACATGGGCACCAATCGCTGCTAGTGCCTGGAAGCATTTGGGATTTGAAGAGGTTTCCTCTGTGGTTCCTGGGGCAGCTGATGAAACTGCTGACGGGGCTATTTCTGGCTTCACTGTGTTAACCTGATCTAAGAGAGGTTTCTGGACCCTGCTAGTAGACAAATAATTTGGGAGGCATGCGCGCGCGCACGTGTGTGTGTGTGTGTGTGTGTGTGTGTGTGTGTGTGTAAATGAGAGAACACTTTTGCTCTCACATCCTATTTTCTTTCATTCATGCTGGACAAAGCACACAAGAAAGGCAGAGTAAGGCAGCTTTATGGGTGCCAAATCCACACTCCCCAAGTGGGATTCCAGAGGGCATTAGGACCTTATTAGAAAGGGAAGAATAAGGTTGGTCACAAAACTTCGGGTCCTTTACTCAGACAATGAGCCACTGTATCACATTCCCTTTAAAACTTTACCACCACAAAGGTCTTTGCAATTGCTGTGCCTGAGAACTTGAAGTTACAGTCTGAACTCCTTGTTAGTAAAACTCACAGGAAAAGGGGTGGGAGAAAGATTAAGAACTCAAGGAGGGGGCCAGAGCAATAGTGCAGTGGATAGGGCCTTGCACACGACCGACTGGAGTTCAATCCCTCGCATATCATATGGTCCCCCAAGCACTACCAGGAGTAATTCCTGAGTGTAGAGCCAGGAGTAATCCCTGAGCATTGCTGGGAGTAACCCCCAAAAACAAAACAAACAACTTCCCCCCCCCCAAAAATAAACTCAAGGACGAAAAAATAAAATCAAAGATAGCAGAGAAATAAGCCTCACCCACAAGTGAACTCCCGGAAAACCCAGGTATGCAAGACTTTGTGACTGAGAATTCTGGGTTCAACGGGACCAGAAACAGAGATCCTCTGTCCATATCCACCTGTCTCCTGCAACACAGCAGTCACACTCATAAGCCACCCCTGGTTGGTACCAGATAATCTCCTCATTGGCCACCATCCAGATTGCATGTCTTTCTCTCCCAGAAGGGGGCATAACACGACATTCACCATAACCATGCTGCCAGACCCCACACCAGGCTGTTTCACTCGGATCACCCCAGAGAGGGGCGGGTGAGACCCCTCCCCACCCCAAGGGACTCAGACCTGGCAGCCAAAATCCTCCAGAGCTCAACCACTGCCATGCTCATGGCTGCTCTCCACATGCTCAGGCTGAGCCTCACCCACGAGTGAACCTTTCCCTGGACCACGTGATCGTGACACTTCATACCATACACCCTATTCATACTCCAAGAGTACCATACCACTTTTGATGGGACTCAAAGTAGGAGGCAACCAACCTTAGAGGGAAATATTATATCATTTTGGTTCTGTTTTGGGGCAGGGGTTAGGGTTCAGGATGGAAACACCTGAAATATGGTGGTGGGAAGGTGTAATGGCTGGTGGTGGGATTGGTGTTTGAATATTAAATGTAATCAAGTTTTGTAAACTACTTTATAAAAGGTAAAGGTAAAGGCCCTCCCGTTGATCGTCGATTTGCTCGAGCGGGCCCAGTAACGTCTCCATTGGAGACTTTGTTGTTACTGTGTCTGGCATATCCAATACTCTCGGTAGCTAACTACTTTATAAAATAAAAAAATTGAAAATAAAAAAAAGCCGAGAAATAGGGAGGTAGTTATTGACAGTGTTAAAGAAAAAGAATGGAATGGGGACAGAATCTGATCTTATAAAATTATTCTAGCAATTTGTAATCTAAAACATGAGAATTTACTCTTAAAGCCTGTGTGCAGGAAATGCATTTGGACAGTTATTAATAGTATACCTCTCTAACTTGTACAGATATTTAAAGTCAAGTTTCGTTGATACAAAAGCTGTTCATACAAAAGCTTCACATATAAAAGTATTGGAATCAATGTAAATTCAAGGACAAACATTGTTTCTTCTGAAAATTTAAAGCTGACTTACAACAGAATTTTCAATAAAATACTTTGCATTTAGTTCTTTTTCTGTGAAAATGTCAAATTGTTTTCAGGAGCTACTGCATAGCAGGGCAGTAAGGCAGGGTGCGGTTCATTGTTCTGTGGACAGGCAAAGTAGGACGCGGCTTGAATTGCTCCACTTCCCTTGGCCAAAAGAGGCTGCCAGTACCGAAGGCCAGGGGCTCAGCACCCAGCCCTCCAACCCAGTTCTCAGTGGCTTTACATCTCAAGCCTGAAGACTTTTTGTTTGTTAAAAAAAAAATGAACTTCTGGCTTGTATCAAAGCCAAGCAATGATTATATTCCTAAAGTAATTTTTGCTTCTTGCAAACTGTATTTAGGACAAAAATACCAAGTAATAACAACAAAAGAACCACCCCCCACCAAACCCTTTCTACTATAGTTCTGTCATTTTTTTTTTCAGCAGTAAGGATATGAGGAGCCATGATTTAGCTCGGACCTCAAACATCTTCACAGTTTGAGTTCAAATCCCTCAAAGAACTGACTACTCAAGTGACTTGGAGAAGAAGGAAACAGGCCATTTCAATATTTCAGAGACTATTACTTTGTTGTGCCTCCTGTTCACAGGAGGCTGCCAGTACCGAAGGCCAGGGGCTCAGCACCCAGCCCTCGAACCCAGTTCCCAGTGGCTTTACATCTCAAGCCATATAACACTTTTTATTAAATGTATAAAGCCGATATGGCTCTGGCCTGTATTAGTTTACTATACCCCTGGTCATCAGAGGAGGAACTGGAAAAAGAGGACAAGGAGAAGAGAGAGAGGAGAAGGAGGGCTGGGAGAAGAGAGGTGTAGCTTCTCAGGGCTCTCCCAGAGAAAGACAGCAGCAGACAGAGCCCAGGTTCCATGAGAGATGCAGGGGCAAGAGTGACACTGCTGCACAGTCATCAGCATCCCAGCAAGAATACACATCCCAGCAAGTTATCTTGTGGTGCTGCTGCTATTGGTCTAGAGATCACACTTCACAATTACAGTGTGGCTCTGCTTATTCAGTTTTGTGTGCCATGGGTTCAGGTATCCACGGACAACTGTGGTCATTAAAGTGGAGCCCGCAAAGAGATTCTGAGAGGGCCCGCACTCAACACTGACGCTACAGCATACTGTACTGCTGCTTCCTTTATTATTTAGTTATTATTCCTAACCTCTCACAGAACTAATCTATAAATTAAACCTTATTATAGGTATATATGCATAGGAAAAACATAAGTTGGTACTATCTCAGTATTACCCGGGGTTTCAGGTATCTTGGAGCATAACCCCAAAGTAAGGGGGAGTTACTGCATATGTAAAGAACAAAGGCTTACTTTGGTGATCTCTGGAAACTCAGAGAGGCCTACAATTTTAGCATTCACTCTTTTTTTTTGGCTTTTTGGGTCACACCTGGCAATGCACAGGGGTTACTCCTGGCTCTGCACTCAGGAATTACAACTGGTGGTACTCAGGGGACCATATGGGATGCTGGGAATTGAACCCGGGTCAGCGGCATGCAAGGCAAATGCCCTACCCACTGTGCTATCGCTCCAGCCCCAGCAGTCACTCTTTAAACACCAAACAAAAACCAGGTTCTACACATTTGAAGACTTTTTGTTAAAAAAATGAACTTCTGGCTTATACCTAAGCCAAATGATTATTATATTCCTAAAGTAATTTTTGCATCTTGCAAACTGTGTTTAGGACAAAAATACAAAGTAACAACAACAAAAGAACCCTCCCCCTGTCCCCAAACCCCTTCTGCTTCCGTTCAGTTTATGCCAGACCTGGCGTTCCAGGCTGCACAGCACTGCATGCTTTGGGAGAAGTGTGGGGGTTAACAAAGAATGGACCTCTTCATCTTTGCTTGAACTTTCTTCTCTATCATGAAAGTTGTCTGTGACTGCATTCTCTGCTGAGGCATAAAACCTGAGGGATGCTTGGTTTGGGGATATGAGTTGAGGGTTTCCACCCTCTGGCTCAGTTCCTTATAATATGGTGTGTTGTACTTTGCCCATAAGCTGAAGCATCAGTCTGGAAGCTCTCATCACAAGTACTCAAACCTTTAAGATCAATGTTCTGAATGCTGTAGAGGAGCCAAAATTGACTCAGAGGAGTCAGAGAGATAAGAGCAGCAGGTAGGCGCTAGCCTTGCACACAGCCAAAATAGGCACAGCATATGCTTCCTGATTATCACCAGGAGGGATGTGGAGTACAGAGCAAGCAGCAAGCCCTGAACAAGCTGTGTATGACCCAAAAACCAAAAAGCAGAATAAAACAATAACCAAAATCAGAGCATGTGTAACGTTAAAAATCATGCGAAGATAGTTTTTCATTTTCAGTGCTGAAATACACATCATATAATTAAATGTGTCTAAAAAAATCTGCCCCCTTAGAGAGCCCAGCAAGCTACTGAGAGTATCCCGGCCACATGGCAGAGCCTGGCAAGCTCCCCATGGCGTATTTGATATGCCAAAAACAGTAACAACAAGACTCACAATGGAGACGTTACTGGTGCCCGCTCGAGCAAATTGGTGAACAACAGGAGGACAGTGCTACAGTGGACAGTGCCAATAAAATCTGCGAAAAACTGTCATGAGAAAAATTAATAGTAATTTTCCACATTTGGGAAGCAAGTATTTTAAACAGAGAGAGATTTTTTGTTTTTGTCAGATACAGCCAAATACTCAATCTCATTCCAGAGGAGGCATTCACAAGAAGGAAAGCACACAGCTAACATATCTGCTGGTTCCAGCTTCCCCACAGGAAAGGGCATATAGATTCAGACTCTGGCTGTAGGTGGGTTTCACAGGAAGAATCAAGAGGAATCCTTTCTCCCCAAATACACAAAGCAACATTTAATTAGAATGTTCCCTAATATTCACCAACACTAAAGTGTGTGCAAATAGGAAGACTGTCATATTTTTCAACACCCATTCCAAATGTAAAGACCTTCAATCTGGTAGAAAAGAACAAAAGCTGGCAGAGATGGCTCTGGACCATGTGCCAGTCTGAGTCTCATCCGGGGCATCCAGAGGAAGGTGTGTATGCCTACCACACACCCCAACAGAGCCCCAGCAGTGGAAAATTTCCAAAACCCAGCCGCTGCCATGCTCAGTGTCAGACTGCACAGGCTCAGACGAGCCTCATCCATGAATGAATCTGCTGAAAAACTCAGGTATGCGGGTTTTGTGACTGAAATCTCCAGGCTCTCAAGGAGTTGGGGATGGGCTACCTCCCCTCAGCTTCTTATTCTTTTGAGAGCCTGCTGGTCATGCCCACAAACTGCCTCTGGCACCATATAAACTCATACTCTACACCACTAATGTTCCAGGAAGCACACCACATTGGATGGGGTGTAAAGTAGAAGGTAATCAATCTCGATCAAAAAAAGGTATATATATGCACACAATTCTCAACCTGTATCTACATGTTAGTAATCTCATGTAAGGGTTTCATGGCTCCAGGGTGAGATACAACAATCTTCACACACTATACTCTAATGAAAATTTTTCTAATTTTTAGCAGATTATTCATAAAATGCAATACAAAATAAATGATTTAGAGCCAGTTATTTGGGCAGGCTTGAGTGGTGGTTTGGAAAATTCGAAATAATGGTGGTGGGAAGGCATGAAAGTGATGGGATTGGCTTAGAATATTGAATGTAATAAATTATTGTGTAATATTGAATATTGAATGTAATAAATTATTGAATATTGAATGTAATAAATTATTGTCCCCCGCCGCGCGTCGGGACCGGGGTCCGGTGCGGAGAGCCGCTCATCTGGGGAACCGGGGCGTGGCCAGAAAGGTGGCCGCCCCCTCGCCCGTCACGCAACGCACGTTCTTGGGACACCTGGTGCTAAACCATTCGTAGACGACCTGCTTCTGGGTCAGGGTTTCGTATGTAGCAGAGCAGCTCCCTCGCTGCGATCTATTGAAAGTCAGCCCTCGACACAAGGGTTTGAGAGGAATTATTGTGAACTTTATAAAAATAAAATTAAATTGAAAAATAAAGAAAATTAGAAAAGCCATTAAAAGGAGCAATTCTGGGGCTGCAGCAATAGTGCAGTAGGCAGGGCGTTTTTATTGCATGTGGCTGACCAGGGTTTGATCTCTGGTACCCCATATAGTCCCCTGAGCCCTTCAGGAACATTCCCTGAGTGCAGAGCCGGGACTAAGATCTGAGCACTGCTTGGTGTGTGACCCCCAAACCCCTCCCCCACCCCCCCCCCAAAAGGGAGACATTTTGTAAGGAAATCACCCTTGGCTTTAGTCTGCAAGAAATGAAAGTTGGCTTCTATCAGTGGGCTAACTGGTTTAACACCCAGTAGAGAGCTGACGATTACACCAAAGGCCATATCAGAACTGCACCCCTACCTTCAATCCCAGGCTCCCACGGGTCTAATTCTGCAAAGGCTACACAGCTCTGCAAAGGGCAGCACCAGGACTTTAATCATCTTTTTTTTAAAATCTGGATGTCTGGACCTTTACATCTGTAGCCTTCATGCCCCACTTACAGCTTGGATAGTTAAAACAAAGGAATGCATTCACTTGTCTCTTTACTCCTCTGTGAGCAATGCTTCTTACTGCTAACCATCAAGTACCAGCACTGAATAAATCAAATTAATTGGACCAGATGCACCTTGTCTGCTTGATTTAAGCTTCTTGGAATGCTTACCTGGTGCTCCTGTGTACATGATGGAAAAGACATTTATGGCTATTGTAGCAGCATAGAACACTGGAAGTGCCCGGAGGCCATTGGGAACAGGGTCCTCCTATAGGAGTGGGACAAAGCAGAAGGTCAGGGTCAAGGAGTATCTGCAGCTGACACAGACCAAAAAAACACCTTTCCAAATCCTGGCATGGCCAAAATGGCCTCGGTGTCTTGCTGTGCTGTCTGCAGCTGATCTGCAGAGGCAGGACCGGTTTGGCTGGGGCTCCCACACAGACGCTAACTCAAAGAGCTGCTGTTGTGCCCTGAAGACACGTCAAAGCACGAGAGTCACATGAACTGATGTCAGACTTAGAAACAGAGAAGAACTGTTAGGTCAGGGAGCTCCTGGGGGCCCAAGCCCAGAGCCTGGAGTCTGCTTTAAAACCTGTAGGTTTACTTAATTTTACTAGTAAAGGCCAGGTTGGCACTAGAAATCTACTTTCAGAAAGTATTTGAGACTGAATGCTCAGAGAATTCCTCGGAATACCAAATGACTTCAATACCAATTATGCACAGGATCTGACACTCTGCAGCAATACATTTTAGCCCTATTAAAATAGTACAGATATATACTTCCAATGTGCCATGATTTTTAGAAACTTTTCATATGATTTAGTACTGAGCCTACAATTAAAACTCAAAAGGAAAAAAATGCACTGTACAGTCCTTGCCTTACAAGAACGTTTAGTTACAACAATTTTAGACTTTTTTGGGGGGCTTTTTGGGTCACACCCGGCGATGCTCAGGCTCTGCACTCAGGAATTACTCTTGGCGGTGCTCGGGGTGACCATATGGAATGCTAGGAATTGAACCTGGGTTGGCTGTGTGCAAGGAAAACGTCCTACCGCTGTGCAATCGCACCAGCCCCAACAATTTTAGACTTTTGCAACAAACTAAATACTTCTAGGAGTGTACACATGCATTATGCTGAATAACACCAGGGGGTTAGAAATTAGAGTTTTAAACAGATAGCAAAGAAATTTGAAGTGAAAACATGAACTGGGAACTCCTTAACTTAGCACACAGATGTTGCTAGAATAATAAAAAACAGGACTATTTCCTAATCCCCATGCAAGACAGGGAAAATCAGGCTGATGCCAGACCCTCAGAAGCAAGGACCAGCAGAGACCATTTCAGAGCATTCCGTATCCATACAGGCATGTCTGGAAACCAAGTGTGAGAGTGGCACAAACTGCTGTGAAGAGATTTTCACTGACAGCAGAGAAGCAGGAGGCCCAGGCAGAGCAGGGGGCATGATTCCCATGAGGCTGTCAGGAGGCAGGAAGAGAGGCACGGGCTCGGGAGAGATGCCAGCCTGGGACACTGGCAAGCACCAAGAAAGTTTGTACAAGGAGCTTGGCCCTGTGTCAAGAAAGCACAGTGGTGTGGGCATGTAGAGAGAGTATCTTGGGTGGGAGAGAAGAGGCTTCCGAGGAAGTGCCACCTGGACATGGAGTAGAGCAGGAGCTTACCATGCAGGCAAGAGAGGGTAAGCTATCTAAGACATGAACATCACTAGTATGGCTGGGCCTGGGAGCAGTGGAACACTAAGTAGTAAGACATGATGGTGGTGATTTTGCACTTGAGAAATGACCAGTGCTGCTGCTGTATCTTGCTTGTGATCTCCACGCCCCTGCAGTGCTTGGCGCCACCCTGCCTCTGCACGTGCCAGCCTGCCGGGCTCTCACTCTTGCCCACTGCTGTATTTAAAGTCAGACTTGACTTAAGGAGGAAGAGATGGTCTCAATGTGCAAAGTATAAGCTACAGCATAATGAGTCAGGTCATGTCTTATGGCTTATATGATACTGCAACACGCTCCTGAAGGCCAAATAAAAATGACAATCATTTATTCCCACTAGAATACTGGTCTCAGTAAGTTTTCATTTTAATTTGCTTGCATTCTACATTAAAAAAAAAACAAACAAACCAGAAAACATTTGGGCAAGGAAAGTCTCCTGCTACTTTTAGTGATCGTGAATCAACATTTTAATACCTTCTCATTCTACTCTGCTGGACATTCAGAAAATAATTACCATTGGTTTTTGAGGTTTGAGGGCAAATTTAAGAACTGATGACTAATGAACCCCAGAGGGTGTTAAGATACACGAGTGACAGTGCTGACTTCCGGGAAGCCTGGGCATGACACCCTGGCTTTCGGACTATTTCTATAATCAAGTCTGGTCCTGACTCTGAGCTGCTTGACCTTAACAATATAAAACTGCCATTATTCTGCTTACTTCTCTTACTAGGCTGGAGCGATAGCACAGCAGGTAGGGTGTTTGCCTTGCACGCGGCCGACATGGCCGACCCGAGTTCTATTCCTCCCCCCCTCTCGGAGAGCCTGGCAAGCTACCGAGAGTATCTAGCCTGCATGCCAAAACCTGGCAAGCTACCCATGATGTATTCGATATGCCAAACACAGTAACAACAAGTCTCACAATGGAGACGTTACTGGGCCTGCTCAAGCAAATTGATGAACAACGGGAGGACAGTGACAGTGACTTCTCTTACTATAAGTTTCAATAAAATAGAATAAAAATTAGTTCTAAAACTTAATTTTTTAAAAGTCTCACTTACCTTTTTTAAGATGAAAATTCTGATCAGTACAAATAGCACGCCAGACATGAAACCAGACAACAGTGGAGATATAAACCAAGAGGCAACTGAGTAATTCAAAACAAAACAGAATGAATGTTAAATTCTAGATTATTAAAGTATTGTTTATATAATATAACACTTAAATATAATACAGACAGTATAAACATTCTGAAATTACTTACCTGAGCACAGAGTCTAGCAAGATCCCCTACGTGTCAGAGCTGGCCTTCTCCAGACAAAAAGAGTAATGGCCCCAGCACTCTTCCTGCACAGCTAGCCTAGCACCCCTTGCCCTGCTCCAGCACAGGTCCTGAACACTGAATCTCTGAATCCCATGGAGCCCCTCTGTCTGCTCTTGTCAATTCCCGGGGTCCTGGTCTGTCTGAGCAGTGAGCACTACTGGAAAGGTAAGGAACTTTGTGGCTTTCGGTTTGTTTGTTTACTAGTTTTTTGTACCAAGCTAGCCTGCGACTTTTGTCTTGGTACTTTTAAAATATTCTTTAGTAAATTTATTAGTTTTTATGTATGTGTATGGTGTGTGTGTGTGTGTGTGTGTGTGTGTGTGTGTGTGTGTGTGTGTGTTCCAAGTACTCTGGCTGTGCTGGCCTGGCTATGAGGGTCAATGCTTGGACCTGGTGGTATGTGGACCAGGACATACTATGTAGTGGTTGCTGGGCCATACAGTGCCAGGAATGAAACTCAGGGACTTCCACACACTAGGTTTGTGCTCTGGCCTTTGCATTATATTTCTGGCCCCTTCCTTCACAAAGGGCCAAGCCTTGGTATGGTTATTCAGCAGCTTGCTGTTGCTGGGGCTGAGGTTCCACGTTGTACCAGGCATCAAATTCAGGACCTCCCTCATGCTAGGCATGTGTTCTACTACTTGGGCTATCTCTCTGGCCCCTCACCTCAACACCTTTTTTTTTTTTTATCATCTAGTATAGCAATTCCAAACTCCAGCTACACAATGAAACCATCTTCTGCAGTTTTTAAAACCAGCTATGCTCTGGTGCCAATCCCAGAATTCTGATAGCAAAGATTGGGACTGGAGTTCTATTTTTTTTTTTTTTTACTTTTTGGGTCACACCCAGTGATGCTCAGGGTTATTCCAGGCTTTACACTCAGGAATTACTCCTGGCGTTGCTTGGGGGACCATATGGGATGCTGGGAATCGAACCCAGGTTGGCCGCATGCAAGGCAAACACCCTACCCGCTGTGCTACTGCTTTGGCCCAGGACTGGAGTTCTAGAGTTGAGAATGATTGTTCTAAAATATGGAGATCAAAGGCAAATCTTTTGGTCATTGGTGTTCCTGCTTCGGAGGTCACAGAGCCCAGTTACGCAGAGCCTCTGAGGTTGCTGAACTTCAGAAGTCATGCAAATCCCCACCATGAGTCACCCAGACCCTGTGGGGGAGGGGTCTCTTACACATTGGGTGAGCTGGTTCTTAGAGGATAGATGGGTTTTATTTTGCCAAAAAGCACCTCCAGGCAGCAGGCTGTAAGACCTTTCCAGAGTCTGGTGGCAGGCATGAGACTCTGACAGGCGGTACACTTCCTCTCAGGAGAGGGTGGTCCTGACAACACTGACTCACCTGAAGGCTTCTAAGAACCATGAACTCAACACCTAAAAACTGAAGGGCTTTTCCTCTGGACCTAGATTTCCTCTGATATACCAACCAATTTCAATCAGACAATTTCTCTTCTGCTTTGAGACAACAGATAACAGTTCATATTAAAAGTTGGATGACAGGGGCCAGAGTGACAGTATAACTAGTTGGACTCTAGGCTTGCAAAAAGTCAACCCGGATTTGATCTCTGGCATCTCATATGAGCACCACCAACAGTAATTCTTGAGCATCGCCACGGATGGGCCAAAAACCAAAAAGATAAAAGGTTGAATGACAACACAACATTTGAAAAGGTGCCTGGAGTTAAAACAACTCTCTAAGACATAATGCATGATCTTCATTAACAGATTTTAAAGGAGAATATTACTCATATAAATATTTTGAACTTTGATATATCAAGGAAGGACACTGTCATAATTTTAAATACAAATTTCCTTAGAAAATGTAAATTTTCCCCTTTTATAGGTTAAAAGAAAAGAGCAATTACCAATCTTGACAAGTTCCATCCACTGCACACCTTTGGTACCAATGGCAACAAGTGAGAATCCAATGGTGGAACCGACGATGCAGTGAGTACCTGAGATGGGAAGTCTCAGGAAGGATGCAATCAGCTGCCAAACAGCTGAACCTAAAGGTTAAAAGATGGAAAAAGAAAGAAAAAGTCAGATACAGAGTATTTTAGTTAGCCACCATAGGAAGAAGTCTAAATTACTGACTTCCGTGACAATACTGACCTGTGTATACTATTACCAAACACTAAAGTCCTGATAGAAATCAGTCAGTTTTCTTTTCTCAATAGAACATTCTCCAACACTGAATGAGTAGCAATAATTTGTTTAAAGAAAAGTATTATAGGGTCTTTAGAGAATGCCCATTTTTTACTGGCCTTTGTTATACTTAGGTAGATATGCTGATGATAAAGTTGTTCCTGGGTGAAGTGTAGCCCAGACCAAGCACAATACTAAAAAATGTGATGAAGCCAAAGAAACAAGAAAGGCTCCACATTAGCAAAGATCCTCTTGCTCTGCCTCATAGACCCAGAATGAGGATATTAAGACACTCACTGGCCATGTCCTAACAGTCTGTAAGAGAGAGTGACACTGTGTTGTGTTCTGATTTCAGTCTTTCATGTGAGAAGTGAGTCTTAACTCTATATTGGACATCAGTTCCTAGACTGGTCAGAAGCTGAGTATTTGCGTTGCTCTCTCTAGCCTTCTATTTTGTAGGGCGATAGGAGAATCCCTTAGCTTTGGCCTTGTGTCCTTTTCACTCAATTTCACCATTCTTTTCCAGGCTTAATATTTTTATAGGCTACAGTTCACTTCAGTTATTTTCATAAGCAGATCAAATTTTTCAGTGAGTATTAAAAGCATCAGCTGGGAGGGATCATTTTCAGAAACAGTTGTTGACAAGCTCCTATAGAACTGTAAGGGAACAAAGGGTGTGGCTGAGAAGCAGGCCACATTATTAATCTCAAATGTTAATTCTTGAAATCTGGTTGCTTGGCAATAGCAAAACTTTTCAAGTAGACCCCTGGCATTTCCCTGAAGACTATCAGAGTTCCAGGGGGTCACTGAAGGCCTCACAGGGCCAGTGTGTAAAACCATGCTGACAGCTGCTCTCTCAGCCCAGTGCAAGATGACCTTTGGGTAGTGACCATGTGTCTATCCCTGTGGCATGTGTTGGGAGGAGAAGGGGCCAGTTGTTGCTGCCAAACCAGTGTCAGGCTCCATGGAAGCACCTGGGCTTCCCCAGGGATGATTCCTGAAACCTTCACATCTAAGTCCTGGGCTCCCCAGGGAATAGGTTGTTTTAAAAATAAAGTCAGAAGTTAGGGCATGTTTTATGACGAAGAAAAACAAATGTGATGATGTATATGCTTGTCAAGGTTAAAATAATTGTCTGATGTTCCAAGAATGGTATAAACTCACCCAACTGCATTCAGACCATGAAATTTTCCTTCCTGAAAGCTGCTATCCTTGCTCTGGCTCACTCTATAGCACAAGTCCTGGAGCAGAAGGGTTTGTCATGAAAGCGGGGTGTCTGTGGAGGGAGGGAAGGGAAGAGAGCAGGCCAGTGGGGAGGGGCGAAGGCGCAGCTGCAGGGAGGGGAAAAGGAAAAACTCTGCGCCTCACCAGCAAGAGAGGTGAGAGGCCTCAACCTCAGGAATTTCTGCAGGCACATGGGGGTACATTAATATGAAGAAAATTTCAAGAAAAAAAAAGACCTTTCACCTGAGACAATGGCCCCTACAAAGAGAAAAGAATGTAAGCATGGGATAAGGATATAAGACAGACTGAAGGAAAGTTGGGGGGGAAAGACGTGTGTCTCTGAGGCAGCAGGGTCCTGGGAAGGCTGCAGGGGTGAGCACAGGCAGGGTCCAGGCATCTGGGAGGGAGGGGTCTGTGCTCTTCCGAGCGTGGGAGTTCAAGAAGGTGCATGTTTCAACTATTGAGGAATTTTTCCATGCGAAAAATGCTAATTTTTAAATTTTCAAGAGATTTCTGGAACCATTGGTTTCATACTATATACACTAACACTTCAGGACTGAGCTAGAGTCCCCAAAGATAAGTTGTTCAGTAAGTTTAACTGGCACCGACAATTCTCTACACAACCAACGCAAGTGCTACCACATTCTATCAGAAAGCACAGAGGCCCATGAGCTTGTGGAGAAATTTCAAAAGAAAAAAAGCAAATAGGATAAAAGGATAGGAAAGAAGGAAGGGAGAGAAGAAATGAACATTGAGTTTAGAAGAGGAGAATGGAAGAATCCTGGCATCTGAACAGAATCAGCTTTGGTTCCAGCCAATAATAATTATCCTCACTTCTTACATTTACAGAGCTCACAGTTGCAAGTAACCCACTTTTTAAAATTTAGGTAACGCTTATAAATACTCAACAAAACAGGCTTTGAGATTCATCTAACCACATATTAAAAAGAAGAAAAAAGAAAGAAACCAAGGTAAACAAAATCAAGTTATTCAAGCAAAACTTAAATTGCCTTGGTTAACCAAAATTCTAGTTGAGATAAGTATTCTTTCTTCTTTCAGTTAAGTGCCAAAGGCCAGGGGTGAGAAATTTTAAAAACTGGACAAGGTACAATATATTTGAGAGTTGGCAGTGACCAGCTATCCACTGAAGAGTCCCAGAGTCAGCTCACTAATGTATCTTTTTGATAAACATTCCTGAAAAGTCATCCAGTAAAAGGAGAAACTCTTGTTGAAATTTAATTTTATTAGTACTTTTCTTCAATTCTACCCGACTTTCAACATGTCCTGAATGGAAAAATCTCAACCTCAGCTTAAAAGGGTCAAATCTTCTATATCAACTTATCAAAGATAAATCTGATAAAAAAACTAATTTTCTAAAAGAATTTCACATATGTCTATGATGAGAAATATATGCCCAATCAGAATAAGTAAATTAATTCCATCTTTTAACACAAGATATTATCAACTCCTAAGTATATAGTGGTAGCCTATTATGCTTAGTTACATTTATTTTATAATATATCATCTACTGAAACTTCTTGTAACAGAAAGAAGATGGTATAACTTAAACTTGTCCAATAATCTCTGCATACTGAGTGTTTAAGAAACACTAAAGACAAAAATAACTAGGGACCTGTATTCTTGGTACACCAGCATCTTACCTCCTACTGCAGGACTCGTCCTACAAAGGAGATGTCCTGTTGAAAGCAGAAGGTGGTAGAACTCCTCTCTAACCCTCTTCTCCCTAACCAAATACCCGTATAGATCAGCTGTCTGCTGTGACGTCATCTCTCCCTAGAGGCAAGCAGAGAAAGAGTCCTGTCAGCTACACTGAAGGCATTTTTGCCTGCAACTTCCTGTTCAGTTGTAGTAGGGTCAGTAAGTGAAATCTGCCCCATAGTGCTTCAGTCTCAGGCCCCCTTGGGCAGGAGAGGATTCATGCTGTCCCACCAGTCCATCTGCTTATTAACATAGTTCATGGCCCTTAACACTTCTCTTTCATCTGGACAACTGGAGACTACCAATGAAAGGTCATACTGTAAATAGTTGACACACAAATGATCTGTTGGCTGGAAAACAAAATAAACATTCCAAATGGAGCTCCTAGAGGTAGAATCAGAAACTCAAAACAAAAGCTTACAAAAGATTATAAATAACATAGAAGTCTAGAATTTCTTGAAACACAAGCACTTAAGATTCATTTGGTAACTGCTTTGTCTTAAATGGAGAGTACAAAAAGTTTTATTAATTAACACAGATTTTTGGCATCTAACTGCTTAAAACACTGCATTCTAATTGATGAAAAATCTACCAAAAGTATAAATAAATCCTTAAGGAAATCTCATAAACTTTTCAAATACATTTACTTAGCAGTGTTCTTTCTTCAATAACTTTCAAACAACTTAGAAATGACAGAAAACTACTCTACTCTTATTTCCTATATATTATGAAAAGTTCTCTCTTAATAAAAATCTATATTAACAATCAAGTTTGCTAAAAAAAACTTGAGAAGATCAATATTTAAGTTTGTTTTTCTTTGTTTTTTTCATGGCCACACCAAGTTGTGTTCAGGGCTTCTTTCTGAGCACCTACATGCTATTCTATCTGGCCCAAATATTTCATTTTCAACACCTAAAAAATTATAATCCAATTCAAATGCACAAGCAGAATCAAAATAGAATCTTAATAAGATCCACTGAAGTATGAAACACAAGTTTTTGAAAAGTTAGAGGACATTTCACATTTATGGGAATGGCAAAAATACAGGAAGTAGGCCAGACATCACATAAAGAACAATGTTACTTACCAACCATTGCACTAACTTCCCCAGCCATTAGTGTTTCTACAGTGTTGTTGTATAGGTTCACATCAATGATACCTTTTCGAATGGTCTCTCCTACTTTGGCTCCCAATAATACAGAGCCAGTGGTTTCAAATATTGAAGCCAAAATGCATGCCTGCCTCAAAGTCACCACACCAGAGCCCACAGCAGTCCCGAATGAATTGGCAACATCATTTGCACCCACAGAAAACGCCAAGATAAAAGCTATGATAAAACCCAAAATGACCATCCACAAATACTCATCCATGGCCATTTTGGAAAGTGGGCTCCAGGTACTTGTCGTTTGCAGAAATATTTTAAATAAACAAAGCTTGAGGTTCTAAGCGTCGTAAGGCCGAGAGTTCTTGTAAACAGTGAGTTTGCTCTGGGAAGTGCTGGACAATGTTAGAGCCTGAACAAACTGCTAACTGCTGGTTTTCAAACTACTGTCAGTACAGTTCATTTGGTTATGTTCAGTCAGCGGTGAAAGACATTCCATATTTTTCCTCCCACTCTGGGAAAGCTGTGATATCTTCTCCTGTAACAGAAAGAAAGAAAACAAAAGGAAATCAATTACCCTAAATAACCTGTAACAGTTTGTTTTTTAAAAATAAATGTCTTAAGCCGACTAATGAGATTAACTTTGGATTGTGACATAAAGCAACTCAAGGAATCTAATAATTGGGCTGGCACACTCAATCCCACCCTTTGGCTGATTGCCGGTACTCCACAACTGAAGCAGCCTGTATACTGAGAGGGAGAGAGTGTCACAGGGTCAGGTTTTCAGCAGTTTGAACAAATATAAGCAGTTGTTATTTTCAGAAAGAATTAAAAAAGCCTCAGAAGAGAAAGAGATAAAGCAATGAGAAATTCACTTGTAGGGTCCTTCAAATACATGGTCTACTCAATTTCTGGGAGTACCGATTAACACAAGTGATTGTGTCACACCCTGGGCAATGGTAACTCATCTACATGCATTTGGATGTATTAAAAGTGATAAATTAGGAGCATATTACACATGTATCTAAAAATAAATTTATAGGTTTGGTAAGAAAGTGACTCATCCAGGGACCAGAGTGACAGTACAATAGGTAGGGCACTTGCCTTGCACATGGCTGACCTGGGTTCAAACTCCATTACCCTATATGATCCCTGGAGCCTGCCAAGAGTGATCCCTAAGCTAAGAGGCAGGAGTAAGTCCTGAGCACCACTGGATGTGACCCCCCCCACTGCCCTCATGAAAGAAAGCGACTCATCCAGAGGGTAACAAAGGTGGGCACTGATGACCTGACTGATGGACAGGAGGAGGTTAGAGAACAAAAGCAAACCGGTGCAAATCAGATCGGACCATCTCACTCATCTATTACTTCCCCTCTCACTCAGAAGGAAAGCTCAAGGTCTCATCAAGACATGGCTTCAGCCCCTCTCCATTCCTCCACGGTCCTTGCAATTCCTTGAAAACACCATGTAGGCTCACATCAGAGCCTTTCTACCTCTGGCTCTATCTGCCAGCAAACACCTCAGGTCAGCTGCACAGCTCACTCCTCATGCTATCTAAGTCTGTGCTCAAATGTCACCATCAGGACCTTTCATGACCTTGTGGAAAAGGAATAGTTCCCCCTCCCCCCACAAACACACATGCCATTATCCTTGTTTACTTTTCTGCTTATCACCTCATTTGTTTATACATGAATTCACTCATTCACTCATTCACTCCTTTCATTGTTACAAGGACTCTGTGATTCATAGCTTTATGTCCAGTCTAGACCACTGCCTTGCATGTATAAGCCCTAATACATTTGCTGAATAAACAAAGAAAGAAGCTATTAAGCAAATGAATGAAAGCCTTGCATATTCTTCCTTCTAAAATGAAGAGGAAATGTCACAAATTTAATTTATTCCTAGTGTAAAAATATCACTAGGGTATTTTTCCAAACAATATTCTGTGATTATATAAGTACCAAAAATTCTGTATCTATCTAAGTATGAAATCTTTACCTAATTTTCTTTGAATCATTTTGAAATATACAGTGGCACCTCGCACAGTGATTCTTTATTTGGGGTTCACATATGCCAGTGCTCAGGGGTTATTCCTGGTGGTGCTCATGGGATCATGGAGTGACGGGAACTGAACCATTCCAACATGAAGAGCCTCTATTACAGCTCACTCAGCTGTTTCTCCAGTGTGATTCTTCATAAAAAATGACTGAACTGAATAAATTAGTTCATATCATATCATATGTAATATAATCAGTCAACACTAAGACTATTTAGAGAGAAAAGAGAACACAACATCTTAATATTCATTGTAATTCTGGAAATACTAAAATTTCACCAAAAAGCTGGGCAGATAGCTCAAGTGGTAAAGTACATACTAGCACAGATCCCATGGCATGCCCCACCACCACCCCAAACCTTCATGTATAACTCTGGTGACTCTTGAGCACTGATGGGTGTGCCTTGGGATCTCTGGAGTACTGGTGGGCAAAATATAAACTGAGAAGATCAGAAGATAAAACACTAAAATTATAACTGTGAGTTTGAATGGTAGATGAGTTTTTCATTTCCTTCCCAAAATACATTCTACTATTATAAACTACTTTCAAATTAAAATAACAAGCAATAAATATATATTGAACACCATCTTTGTACTACAATGCTATGGAAATACAATAAAATAGGAAATAGTGTGTGATCTTATCATTTCCTGAGATTTATAGTCTATGTAACGCTGGAGACTCAGATTTCATGTGAGACAAATAAAAAGGCAACTTGAAAGGCCAGCTCAAAACTTCCACGAAAGCAGTATTCTATAAGTATGATGGCACTTCAAATTTGTATAAGAAAACAGAATTTAAAAAGTGCATGCACGCGCACGCGCGCGTGTGTGTGTGTATATGTGTGTGTGTGTGTGTGTGTGTGAAAGAAGCATGATTGTTTTTATTGAAACTTACTTTCCATAGTGGAAAAAGCTAGTAGAGATAGAGACAAGCAAGCAGGAGATGTGTTCAAGGGGGAACACGGACTTAGAAGTATTGAGGAGCCAGCCTGAAAGTATTCTTGTCAACGTAATCTGTCTACACAATGTAAAAGAATCTTGAAGGAATCGTCTCAGGGTAGGTTGCCCTCCGGCAAGGTGGTGTTTGAGACCCTCATCCACATTGTCCCTAGGAGTTAAGGATGAAGGGTGGCTAGGGGCCAGCACAGGAAGCTTCCAGACCAGTGAGGGAAGGAGGCATTCACCAGGGTCCCAAGAACACAGAGTGGGCACAGCAAGTGTTTCTGAGAGGACAGGGGAGGCCCACTGCCTTCCTAGGAGGCAGGAGTTCACTCCAAGAACTTTCCTGACCAGGGGTGAAAAGGAAACCTCCATAGAAGTGGCGGGGGGAGGGGAGGAGCATCTCAAAGACAATAGTCATGGGATCAACAGAGGGGTGCCTCAAATGGAGTTTAATTTGCAGATAGTATCAGATTTCCCCATTAAGAGCGGGGATTCTGGTAGCAGGGTGGAAAATGGAATGGGTAGAAAAAAGAATGTGGGGCTAGAGCGATAGTACAGTGGGTAGGGCGTTTGCCTTGCATGTGGCTGACCTGGGTTCAATCTCCAGCATCCCATATGGTTCCCTGAGCACCGCCAGGAGTAAATCCTGAGTGCAGAGCCAGGTGTAATCCCTGTGCATCGCCGGGTGTGACCCAAAAAGAAAAAAATAAAGAAAGAAGAATGAGTGTAGAGAGTCTAATTTTGAGTCCTGGGGGGTGGTTATGGTACACACCGGCCAGGAGAGCTGCTAAGTCAAGAGAAGTGACGGAAGGAGGTGTTTCAGGGGCTAGTCACTAGGGTTTGGGGAAGATATGTACCTGGGAGCCCAGAGAAAAGCTGAGGCTAGACAGTGCTCTACTGTCTTGCTTTATTTTCAGTTTGCTTCTGATCTTTTCAGGTAGGATGGTTTATATGATAAGAGAATAGTTGCAGGAGAACAGTAAAGCACCAATGTAGTATGTCCCCTGCCCAGTTTTGCTTGGAGAGGTTTGTTTCCTGATCTTTATAGCTTTGGGCCTATTTCAAATCAATATCACTCCCACATATATAATCCAACATAACTTACTTTCACAATCATGTCTATGTTCCTTTCTACTTTACATTAATATCCTCAGGTATCTTAAGAGCAATAAGCCTCGGGTTAAAGAGAAAGACTTGTCACATTCTTTGATACTAAATGATACTGATCTTGCATTGTATCGTTTATTTTTAGCAAATAACAACTTGATATTCCTCCTTACCCATTAATTTTCATTTACCACAAGCAAAATGAAACAAAGTACTTAAATAACTACACAATCTATTGTACAGAGCAAGATGCCAGTGCTGCTAAAACTAAGCCAGTGGTCTGCAAGAAGATCACAGTACAGAAGGTCAATATGGTAATTTATCCGGAATATAGAAAGCCTTAGTTCCAAGTAGGTGGCATCTGACTACATTCAACATATCAGAGTGCTGGATGTTTGAAAGTTATTTTTTGATGGGGGATCAAGCCACTGGGGGAGTGCTGCCCTTTTTCTAAGTGCTAACTATCTGAAAGAGAAGCAGTAGGCTCCTGGGCTGAGATGTGGTAAAGGAGTCCATTTGCTTCACATGTGCAAGGCCCTGGGTCCCGTCCCTGACACTCAAACCAAAAAATTAGACCCTATCTGACATCAAAATGAAATAACTTGAATGTAAAAAATTGAAACAATGAAAATAAACCCCAGGCAAATATTTATATTGGAACAAATAAACTGAGACAAAATATTAAAGGCCATTTATAGAAAAGATCAATACATTGAGTTAATAGAAATCATGTAGCTTGGAAACAGGATTTCCCAGAGGTCTGATGAAAAGCATCAACAGAAATGCCCATTTTCTTCCAAGTCCTTCTATGTCTCCTAGAAGGACCTTTTAAGAACCACCTTGACCCAGTGCTGTGAGTGAGTGCTCCTGTGCATTCTTTGATGGTGGTGAGGTGAGGTCACTGGACGCTAAGGCAACAAATGCCAAAACCACTGGAAATGCCTGATCTTAATTATAGTCAATTTAAAAAATAAACTTAAAAAAGTCATGAAGGAGAACTGGAACAAGCTTTGCCTGCTCTCCTTCCTCCTAATTTTCTTGTATGATGGTACTCAAAGACTGAAGGTCACAAGATATCCTTCAATTTCAAAACCACCAAATTCTTGGATTTGAGGAAGAGAGATCAGAGTGTTTTGAATTAATGTAAGAGGGACAAAAATGTTTCAGTAGTATGCTAACAAGATCCCACTTCCTTTTCTTAGTACTCTCAATGACTTTTGAACAAACTTCTAGGCTCTCGGCCTCAGCTGCTACCACTTCTGTTCCCAGACCCTTGCCCAGCTCTCCTGCTAGCAGGTGTTTGAGCAGGACTTGTGAGGCAGGTGCCCATGGATTCTCTTCCTACACTTTTCTCTCTAAGCCTTTGTTTCAAGTCTACCCAATATTCTCTGATTCCCACTAGAAATCTGAAAGTTTAATAAACAACTGAA